GGATCAAGTCAGAAATCCATAAGATTTGCTAGGCACTGGTTTCTGTCCTCTGAACAGAATTATGTGCCCATTTTGTGATTGTCTCAACCTGGCTTCTCAACCTGTGCTTGACACTAGAACCTCAAATTTACTTGGGAATATAAAAAAAAGGAGAATCTGAGAAAGAAGGAAAGAATGTCCATTCAAGAAGGCATGATCATGTAGCTTATCACCAAGAACCACTGTGGTCACATCTCTGAAAGTATTTGTCCCACAGCTTTCTCTCACTCTTTTACTATCAACATTTGTCGAATGTGGGTCCAAGTGAACTTCTATCATAGGAGCCTCATATCGGGGAGGAGAGAGGTGTGTGTAGCATGGTCCTGCAGAGAAATTTGGTCTACAGACTCCTGCACAAAATCCATTCAAGACTACTTAGAAAAGGCCATGTGATGGTATATGGATAAGTGTTAGGACAGAGAGGATTTATAAGAATGCCAAAGAGGTTTCAAAGACATTTGTCATCTGGTAAGCTTAGAAAAGAATTGAATTAGATATAGGAAAATTAGCAGCATCCTCTCAGCCTTAAAAAGATATCAACACAAAAACCAGAAGTATGTGGAAAGATACCAAATGCAATCAGCAGTCTCATAGCTGCCAGAAAAATCTTCTGACCAGGACATTGAACTACCCTATAGAGTAGAGAAATCCTTTACAAACAACTGTACTGTGTACTTAGACAAAATAGCAGAAGAGTACAAGAGGAAAAGAAGTCCCTAATGCTAGAAAAAAGAACCATGTGAACTGGGAAAAAGGAGATACAAGTAAAGCTAAAACCCAAAGAGACTATTAGATGAGAGTCCCTTTATGCCAAAGGACAAGGGCTCAGACAGGACATGAGAGGCAGGATATAACTTCATAGCTGAAGCTGGACTCCTTCACCAAGTCTCTCAGCCTGAAAAGACTGAGGTTGTTTTAGGTCAGAGATTCCTGCCCTGTAGGCAGCCTGGAAGACTTGGAATTCCTTTGTAAGGTCCATATGGAGGGGTTTAAGTGAGAAGAGATTTACACTCAATCCTAGAGGAGAGAGAAATGGACACCATCTGCTGTGAATGCAGGCATGGTGGCAGCAGTAGCCTTAGCTCCAGGGATGTGACCACTACAACAACTCTAGGATGGAAATCAAAGAGTAGGGAAAGCCACAGAAATCTGCCATTTGCTGAGCTCTTACTGTCTTCTAGATCATACCATGAGGTTTGTCATAAAGTGCCACGCCGACCCCAGTGGAGTCTGCTTAGCATGGGAAACCATCTATCAGACCATGATAGGGGTTTCAGAGACCTATCTCTGAGGTTTGGGACTTCACCGAAGTCTACCTCAGAGAATAGGGCTTCTAAGAGGCCTACTCCTGGAAAAAGGCTGGCAAAGATGTGTTTCTGCCTTTCTTTTCCTCATAAGAGTGCCTACTAATCTTTTACTGTTTCTACTGCTCTTTGTACTTGCTCATTGTCAACGTTTCCCTTATTTAAAGCTCTTTCTTAAGAGTGTTGACGACTCCAATATCTGATGAGTGTCTACCGGAGTTAAGTGCTACCCTGAAACCCCCTCTTATGGAGGCTAGTAGAACAAGCCATAAGCAAATATAAAAGTATTGGGGGTTTCACAAAGTCACTTCAGCAGAAGGAATTGTTTGTAAGAGATTTACAAAAAGCTGTAGGCGTGGCTAGAACAGAAAGAATGTATGGCAATTGCTGAGATAACTACTTAGGAGAAAGAACTTCCTATTACTCTTTCATTTACTAAGAGACTTGCTAGATCTAAGTCTCCTTGGTGTTTACTATTAAAGAAGGAACAGAAAAGATCTTATGGGATGGTTAAGGCCTCTATAGAAATAAGGTAATGGTTAGTTGGTGACAAACATCAAAACCCATTATATTTCTTAGAGATAAGCCGGAAACAAGTGCCTATCAGGCGACCAGCTGGTGACCACCCAAGAATGAAGCCCTGCAGCAAGGTTGTGTAACCTTTTGCCCTTTCAGGCGATCAGCTGGTGACCGCCCAAGAATGAAGCCATGCAGCAAGATTATGTAACCTTTTGCCCTTTCTTATGGAGACTTTTTGCTATAAAAGTTTGTTATCCTCTGCATTAAATCGCACTCAGCGCTCAGCACTCAACATCCACTCCTAATGTGTGTGAGTTGTCTGTTTGCCATCTCCCCATCCTATTCCAGGTTCCTCCCCTAGGTATCCTCCGTCGTCCCGACAGAACCCGGTCCGCGGCAATAAAGCCATATTACCACTAGAGGAAACCCTCTAGTATTTCTCAAGGCAGCCTCTGCTGTCTCTTTTCAAATGTTATTAGCCATCCTTTCAATGGCACATCCATCCACTCATTCATTTGTCCTACTATATGGGAGTAAGAGGTTGGGCAATGGCCAGGAGTACCCAATGGGAGGAGGTTCTGGTGGTCCTGGACTAAAGATTTGTGGAAGGCGATTATACAGCCATCAGATGCTCCACAGTCAGATGCACAAAATATGAAGAAAGGCAATTCTGAAAGGCCTATGTATAAATCATGGTTTGGATTCTCCATTGATCGTGCTTAGAACAGGTTTTGTGTTGCAAGCAAGCCCAGGTTAGTAGCTTCAGATCCATCTTATCTTCCTATTTTGTTCTCAGAGAAATAATCTTCATGAGAGGCAGGATCTTCAAGGCCTGCTCCCATGTTAGATATAACAAGTGGCTGAGCTCCACCGACGATGTCACTTTGAGGCCTGACACCCTTCTTGGCAATTTCACTACTCAAAATTCCTCTCTACTGACCAAAGTCTTGCTACCTCCCTGCTCTTCTCTGTTGTCTTTGAGTCTTTTTTTAAGATAAGGCATTTTTTTGGTCCAGCCTGTCCACATGAAGTGATGTATTAATGGAATTACTTAATTTTTCCAGTTAGGGTCAATTCAGACTATCATGTCTGTGGATTCCCAGAATAACCAGAGACAGTGCCATTTACTTCCACAGCTCCTTCAGATCCTAAACATCCCATAAAAACCATGCCTGGGCCAAGGATTAGAACTTTCGAGAAGACAGAACTTTGTTCTGATTTGAGCAGTCTTACAAATCTTCCTTTGCTCTTTCAATTTGCACTATCCTGTCACACCTGGGCATAGAAGATGCTCTTCAAGGAAAAGGACCAGATGACATAATTGTTAGCAAATTAAAAAAAAAGTCACGTTTGTAGTTGCATCACAGACACTGAGCCAATGGGTGGATTCAGGGCCTGGGGTGAATCATGTCTGACAGGTAAGAAATGACACAGCAGCCCCAAAGGTCCCATCTCCCAGAGGCAAGGCTGTCCTCTGCATATAAAGCCAGCTGGCTGAGGGTGCCACACCAGATCTGAGGGACCACACTGCCTGTTCTTCTCTGCACACAGGTGAGCCTTTTTGCTTGGAACTTTTACCATTTACTCTAAGTCTGTGTTTGTTTGTTGGAAACTTACCACTTGGGGGTGTCTTTCTAAATCTTGAAATTTAGTCACAGTCCTGCAGATGATCCACCTGAAGGATGAATTTTAGGAATTGCTGTTGTAAAAGTAATCATGCTTTGGATTTGAAGAGACTTGAGACACACATAATTTGTTCTGTGCCATTGATTCTTGCTGAAAGAGTAAGGAGCTGGTGCAGGGACCCAGAGGAAGGAAATAGCAGAAAGAGAACCAAAGTTCAGGTCCATAATTCCTTTTTTATTCATAATTTTAATACAAAGAACTTTATTCTTTTTTTTTTTTTGGTCCGGTCGTGGGGCCTGAATTCTGGGCCCTGGGGCTGTCCCTCAGCTCTTCAGCTCAAGGCTAGCACTCTACCACTAGAGTCACAGCACCACTTCTGACCTTTTCTGCTTATGTGGTGCTGAAGAATTGAACCCAGGGCCTCATGCATGCAAGGCAAGCGCTCTACCCCTGAGCCACCTTCCCAGCCCAGAACTTTGTTCTTTCAACAAATATTTTATAAGACTTTACAGCTACTAAAAATAACTTCGCTAACAGGAATTTATGCCACCCAACTACAATTGATTCAGAAGGTTAAGAGATAAAAATACAACATAAACACTGATCCAGGTGCTGGGATACTGGCCAGTTGCTGTGGTACTTTGATGACACAGAGATTTCTGGATAGGTTGTTCAAAAGTCATCCAAAAGTGCCATAGGCTATGATCTGGGAAGGTTGGGTAAACTGAATCAAGTAGGGGAGACAGAAACAACTTAGAGAGAGGCATGCTTGAGCCAGTGTTCAAGTGTGACTGTGAGGAATTCTAGAGACCAGAGTTACCCTAGGGGTGATGAAGCATCCTATTTATCATGAGTGGGTGGGTTGCGTTATTGTCATTTTCCAACACATTGCATTTCCAATCAACCCAGTAACTTAAGTCTCTGGTTCGTGCTAGAAGCCAGATGCTGTGTTCTGCTGCTAACTGACTCTAGCACATATAGAAAGAGATAGAACAGGGGCTGGGAAGGTGGCTCAGTGGTAGAGTGCTTGCCTTGCATGCATGAGGCCCTGAGTTCTATTTCTCAGCACCACATAATCAGAAACAGCCGGAAGTGGTGCTGTGGCTCAAATGGTAGAGCACTTGCTGAGCTGAAGAGCTGAGGGACAGCGCTCAGGCCCAGAGTTCAGGCCCCACGACTAAGAAAGAAAGAAAGAAAGAAAGAAAGAAAGAAAGAAAGAAAGAAAGAAAGAAAGAAAGAAAGAAAGAAAGAAAGAAAGAAAGAAAGAAAGAAAGAGAAAGAAAGAAAGAGATAGAACACTGGGATGAGCCCTTCTCAAGTGAAGCAGAACCCATTATCTTTAAGTTTCTCCTCTTCAAAGACCCAGAAATTATCCAAGTAGTCTGTGCACTGGAAAGGAAGAAGAACCTTTGCTCCTTAAAAGATTCTAAGTCGTATTGAGGATGGCTTCTCCCTGACTTATTCCTTTGTTCGAATCCTCTGTTCTGTCTCTAGGACCAGCCATTGTTGAACATGAGTGCGCAGCAGCAGAAGCAGCCTTGTACTGAAGTTCCCCAACTGCATCAGCAGCAGGTGAAACAGCCTTGCCAGCCTCCACCCCAGGAGCCATGCGCCCCCAAAACCAAGGAGCCCTGCCACCCCAAGGCTCCTGAGCCCTGCCACCCCAAGATGCCTGAGCCCTGCCACCCCAAGATGCCTGAGCCCTGTCACCCCAAGGCACCTGAGCCCTGCCACCCCAAGATGCCTGAGCCCTGCCACCCAAAGGCACCTGAGCCCTGCCACCCCAAGATGCCTGAGCCCTGCCACCCCAAGGCGCCTGAGCCCTGCCATCCCAAGATGCCTGAGCCCTGCCCTTCAACAGTCACTCCAGCACCAGCTCAGCAGATGAAGCAAAAGTAAAGTGGTCCAAAGCCACACCCTCAAGGAGTTAGCCATTGATGCTGCGCTTCCTTTCCCATTCTGCTTATGAGTCCTATTAGCCTTGTACCTGCATGTTGTGACCCTGAGTCAAAGTCCCTCCCTGATTTGTACCCTGCAAACAAGCGCTATCAAGCTTTCTTTCCTGCATACTTGGGGCTTCTGAGCCTCTGAGTTAGCCTGAGGAGTTCAGTGCCCAGCTGGTTTTCATCTATGCAGAATTTATATAAGGAGGGACTCAAGGTGAAAGCGAGTGACTCCACTCTTTCACACTCCCATTAAATTCCCCTCCATTCCAGTCCTGATTCTGTGTGTTGTTATTGTCAAGTTCAACTCCTCCCTTCTTTCTTTCTTCTCACGAAGCAGACGCTGTTCATCCAGAGGGCAGGGCTTAATTAAAGGGCTCTGCTCAGCGGGCATCTGACCCTGACACTGGGAGAAGGGAAGTTGCTTCCTCTGCATAGTCCTGGGCTGCCACAGAAAGTGTGTGCAATGCCACCCAGGGGCTGTGGCCTTGCACACCCAGGGCTGGGGTAGGGTTCTCCTGTGACTCAATGAGTCACCGTGGAGTTTAGCTCATGCCTGTCCAAACTGGCTCTTAACTAACCTGCCTCCAAATCGGGCTTCTATATTGCTGACTTATTCAATCAACTTCTCTGTGTTTTAGAAAACGTTCTTCCTCTGTGTGTGACTCCACTTCCCTCATTCATTTCCGCTAGCTATCAACAAGTACAATTTCCAAATGTACCTGAGGAGTCATGTTCTCTACTGTTAGCCCAGTCAGCCCCCCTCCAGCCTCTGAGTGTCCAATGTGGGCCAGAAAAGGGATGAGGGAGATTCACAGTACTTGTCAGGAACATTTTCAGCCTCTTAGAGAGGTGATTTCCTTTATCCTACTACATCCCTCATTCAAACATTCAGACAGGCATAGATACACACGGTAGGCCTGGAGTCTTCAAACACAAAACCTGTCCCATCAGACTCCATGTTAGAGGCTAAACTGCAAACATAGTGCACTAGGAACCTCAGGGAAAGGTAACCTATGCTCACTCCCATCATCGTAGAGTTTAGAGTCATATTGGAGCACACTGGTTAAGACTACACTTATCCCAGTTACTAGGGAGGCCTACATAGAAGTATGAGACCATCTGGGCAAAGCATGAGCCCTGCCATCCCAAGATGCCTGAGCCCTATCTGAAAAAAAAAAATTAAAGAAGAAGGGTGTGGCCAGAATGATATTTCATGAGAACCTGAGTTCAAACCCCAGTATCACCAAAAAGAAAAAAAAAAAGGTTTGGAATGATTCTCACTATAAAACTATGTAAGGATAACAAGGGGAAAGTGGAAAAGATGGAGAATGAATAATTGCAAAATACATTACAACCATGTATGAAGATAGCTTAAGAAATCTCAATGAAAACTGTTGATCAGTAGGGGGTTAGGAGAAGAAAAAGCAAGAGAGAGAGTTATTCTGAGCAAAATATAATACACAAGAGTATATCTGCATGAGAAATACCACAGTGAAACCCACTGGTGCAATTAATACACTCTAAAAAAATTAGATGACAGGAAAGCAAAATGGGTTCTGTGAGGGAGGATGTCAACAGAAATGGAAAGGATTAATGAAGGTGGTAAATGCGGGTGAATATGGTCCATGTAGTTTATTTTCATGTGTGGAAATAGAACAGTGAAACCTGTTTGAAACTGTTTTAAGACAGGGGAGAGAAATGAGAGACTTGATAAAGGGTGTAAGGCTGATCAAGGTACATTACAAATGTGTGTGGAAATGCCATAATGAAACTCCCCTGTACAGCTAATACTTGATAACAAAATAAGAACTCAGGAAATAAAGAAGAATGACATGAAACAAGCAGAATCAATATCACATTTGTGTGTGCGTGCTTATATGCAAGAAGGATGTTTTTAAATTTTTGTTTTTAATTGATGCATAATAATTATACATGGTTATGAGACACCGTGTGATTATTTAATACATATACAAACTAAGTAATGATCATCTCAGGGCAATTAACATTTCCATCTTCTTTTCATTTAGTTATGTTTTAGGGCTTTAAGCTCTTTTTTTCTAATTCTTCAAAAAATATAAAAATGGTGTTATAAACTGTAGTGATCCTGCAATGCTGTAGAACACTGGAGCTTATTTCAAACCCCCAGAGTTACTTAGTCTTAAATTCCACCTGGCAGCAAATCCCCAACACTGGCAGGTGTGTTCTGGAATCTGAGACCTTCACCAGCTATGAGTTTGGTGCATTTCTTTGGTTGTGACCTTCAGGCAATGAGTCTAGTCTTTCCTTGGGAGGTTACAGCCGCCAACCACCATATCCATCAATGCCTGAGCTCCCCACGGTTTAAACTTCTCAGCAGTTCCGTCAGATCACCTCCCTCTCCATGATGACCTATCATGGTTATCTTCCTCACAGATTCTATGCCCAAAAGCCCCCAAATCCCCTGAGTTTGTGAGTTTTAGCCTAAGAAGGTGACCCATATGAACAGGAGAGAAACAATTTGGATTCTTAACCCTGCATTGCTTTCTCTCCTTTTCCCTGCATTTCCTGTATCTTAAGGACTGCTATGGTTTTTATAGAGAAAGCTTCAAATTCTCTTCTCTTTTTTTCAGTTTTACAGTGTTTTATTTGTGCTCATGAGGCTTTTCATATGTGACTCTGAGTTGAAATGATTAGCTTCATAAATGATTGGGGTTATAGAACTTCCTGTCTTCGATTAGCTCTACTTTTCTTTGACATGGAAAAAAAGTGATATTCAAAAATTGCAGGAGTGGAAATTTCCCAAACAGGCTTATCAACGGCTATAAATCAAGTAAATTTTTCCTAAAAGTTAACAAAAGCATGTAAACTTCTCATTTTAACTTGGTTCTAATAGCTTATTAACTTTCTTACTTTACAGAACTGTCTTCATTTTGAAGCCCTGAGATTCAGGAACATCCTGACTTTTCGAACATGAATTGCTCAGTACTGATATTAAAATTAGAAACAGACTCAGGTTATGTATCTTTGAAAACTTTTATATTCACTTCAATTAATTTATAGTTATTGTGATGTGAAGCAATGCTATATTAACAAGAACAGTTCCTCAATAAAACTGTAATATTAGAAAAATAGTATGAATTAAATTACAAAATGCATATTTTAAAATAGTAGTTGGGGATGGAGGTGTGACTGAGCAGTAGAGCACTGACCTGGCAAGCACAAGGCCCTGAATCTAAACACCAGCACCACTAAAGAAAAAAAACATGTTTTTATATGTGCCAGTACTGGAGTTTTAACTCAGGGCTTCTCACTCTTGCTTAACTTTTTCACTCATGGCTGGTGCTCTACCACCTGAACCATACCTCCACCTCCAGCTTTTTGGTGCTCAACTGGAGATCAGTGTCTCAGAGATTTGTCTGCTTAGGCTGGCTTCAGACCTTGATCTTCTGAGTGAGCACCGTAGACATGAGCTCAGTGCTGGGGAATAACAGAAATTTTAAAAAAGAAAAAAATTTCTCTTTGGAAAATACCAACTTGTTACTGGCAATCTATGTCCTTCTTCTTTGTTTTAATGGACGACTTGAACATGAATTTTTCCAACTTGTCATCTGAAGGCTTTGGTACAGATGAAATTACCTCTTTAAGTTCATTCTGAATTAAGTTTGCCATTGTATTCAAGGCATCATCCTGCAAATCCACTTTAGGTATGTGTGGTAATTTAGGCCCCATTATAACCTCATTACTGCTGTGCTTGTTTCAAGCAAATTCCAAGTTTATGGTCATCTTCTCTTCTTTTTTTTTTTGCATGTTTTTCATTGTAAAAATACTGTACAGAGGTGTTACAGTTACATGAGCAAGGTAATGAGTACATTTCCTATCAAGCATTGTTGCCTCCTCCTTTGGTTTTCCCCTACCATCCCTTCCCTCCCTCCTCCACAACTACCCCTCCTCCCCACCCTGAAGTTGTAAAGTTCATTTTTAACATAGTGTCTTGTACATCTCATTGTTACAATGGGTCAACCTGTATCCTTATTTAAGCATTTTGGTTTTTCCCCTCCCCTCCCCAAATTAGAGAAGTGTATATACAAGATGCAGGGCACTGACATCAAATACAGTGAAAACAGGGGTTATACTGTGGGAGAGGAACATACAAAGCAACAAAAAAAATCACATGGTACATTATAAATACATTAGAAACAATAGCAAGCAAGAACAAAAGATATTTGTGTCCCTATCTTGGGGTTCATTTCACTTAAAATCATCTTATCTGGTCATTTGTACCTAGCTTTTGACCTTTTCTGCTTGTCCTACACATGTACTAGTTATTGCAAATAAGGGAAACCATGAAACCTATGTTTTTCTGGGCCTGGCTGACTTCACTTAATATAAATTTTTCCAAGTCTTTCCGTTTCCTAACAAATGGGGCAATGTCATTCTGATGGAGGCATAGAATTCCATTGTATACCACATTTTCTTGATCCATTCATCTATTGGGGGGCATCTGGGTTGGTTCCATATCTTAGCTATGGTAAATAATACTGCAATAAACATAGATGTGCTGGTAGCCTTAATATGGCCTTGTTTGTGATCATTTGGGTAAATGCCCAAAAGTGGGATTGCTGGGTCATAGAGGAGCTCTATGTGGAGTCTTTTGAGGAAACTCCAAAGTGGTTGAACAAGATTATATTCCCACCAACAATGCAGTAGGGTTCCCTTCTGGCCACATCCCCTCCAGCATCTGTTGTTACTAGATTTCTTGATTATAGCCATTCTAACAGTGGTGAGGTGGAATCTCAATGTTGTTTTGATTTACATCTGTGTTTTTAATAAGTTTTTTATTGTGAAAATACTGTACAGAGGGGTTATGGTTAAATGAGCAAGGTAATGAGTACATTACTTATCAAGCATTGTTGCCTCCTCCTTTGTTTTTCCCCCACCATCCCTTCCCTCCCACCTCCTCAACTATACCCCCTC